ATTTACAAAATCTTGTTTATTGTGGTGATTTTTTTTAAAACATAATATTTTTCGAATACACTAGTTGTATTTCTTCGCAATGACTAATTTGATTGAATTTTATTTGTTGAACTTGGTGCAAAGATAAACAAATTATTGCCTTTTACATGGTGAAAAATGGTATGGGTTAACGCCCCTATAAACACTATTAGGTTATTTAAGAGGCAGGACCTTCGAGTTTAACGTTATTTCGAAAGGAGCCAAGAGGGAAATCGTATAAAGTGCCTTTCCCAAAGACACAACGTCGGATCGAGCTGAGGCTCGAACCTCCGAACCCGCAATCTTATGAGTACGAGTCCGGTAGCCTAACCACTAGGCTGCCGACGCCCCCCCCCCCCCCTTTACATAGATCCTCTTTTGTTTTAGACATCTGGTATAAAGGACGTTTCCAAAACTTACCCCATAAAACAGCATTTGGACTCAGAATTTAGAAGAATTGTTCAACAAATAAAACTTTATAATGTGACCAGGGTTTAGTCTTCAATACGTTCCCGTTATATCCTGAGATTCGAGGTATGAATCTGAAATCATGAATGATGCTCAAGTTAATATCATCCAAAGGATACACTTCTTAGGTTTATTTTTTGTAGGAGACTCTCTGAAAGAGCGTAGTTTTACCCGCCCATGTGATGTAACGGTTTGGCGTTTCGCCGTCACACACGGATGGTGTGAGTTTGAGTCGTATGTGGGAATGTTTTTTTAACAAGCGTCTCTGTTTGCCAGCTAGGATGCTGTATCTCTCTCAGCCTTGGTTGCCCCTGACAGGGAGGGTCGAAGCTCGTTTCCTAGATGATCTGAATTGTGTCGGTGTGAGAATTAGATTTCAAAAGAAAAAGATATTTGAGAAAAATATTAAGCGTAGTATCGTACAAATAAGGCAGTAAACAAATATTTTTCTCAAAGTCTGTTCTAAAAGATAGATTGTCATCTAAAAGTCCAGCTGACCACTGCCCACATGTCAAGCAGTAATCAGTTTGAATGAACTTTGGCCTTAATAATATGATAATGATTATAATACAATAATATGCATTTCCCCACCACCGCGCCTCATGCAATTCGACCACAATAATTACCGATAAACCGCATTCATAGTCAGCCATTAAACCTATCGAAACGGATTGTCTTGCTCTTAACTCTCACTTATCGACGTATATCTTCTCAATATCCTTCTCATTACTACCGCCATCTGTGACGTAGCGGTTAAGCGCTTTGCTGTCGCACTCAGGAGATCCGGGTCCAGAATTTTATCGAATATCTTGGTCTCATGGATATTGTATCCCTCTCAACACGGGTTGGCCGTCACAGCCCTCTTTCTAAATGGTTTAGATTATGTTGATGGGGCCGTAAAAACACCTACATTAACAAAAAATTTCATCTGTACAAACTAAAGTACTGGATAAGACAACGACAATTATGTTATAGTTTTTGTTCAAGAACCCCCTTTTTGCTGGAAAAAATACAACTTAAAAGCTGTTTGACTCTGACATATCAGGCTGTGTTCACCAAACCAGGTATCAAATCCTAGAAATCTGATTTGTTCTTTAGCCACCTTTCTACAAATCCCGCAAACATCTGGATTCACCTTGTGAGCCCCGTCCTCTCTATTACCGCAACCACCACCCTTCTCTCTACTATACACCCGAACACACTTTTAGCATACCTTCCTATGCTCTTTACTGAGTACAATATATATATAGTGTAATTTATAGCATATATGATATATTGATATAATAACAACTATATACATATGCATAGATATTATATCAAAGGTCCTGTGTTCGAATCTGGGTAAAGGCGGAGTCATTTTCTTCCCTAAATTTGTCTCTTTTCACCTCTTTTCCTGCTCTCTAGCATTATTCTGTCTTCAGCTTTTGTCTCCCCTTTCTGGCCCCACCCCTCACCTCATTTGCCCCCTCCTCTGGGCTCCTAACTCTTTCTGCAGCCTTTCCACTCCTTCTGCTTGGCTCATTCTTACTGCTGTCTTTCATTCAGCCACACACCCTGAACTTCTGGTAGGAAAGATCTACGCCTAGACTTTTCGGACTAGGGCGAAAAATCTCGTAGGTCCCGTGTGCAAGTTGCGCACCTTAAAATCGATAAGAGTAGTTCTCGGCGCCACCGGGGTAAAATTCAAAATTTCTTATCAACTGAAAAATGTTAGCTGTGTCCCACGCGCTCATATGACTCTATGCAGTTGCGAGTGCCGTAAAACACTTACCAACAGAAATAAATTATGTATGTCATTGTATAATAATATATAATATTATTACTTATCTCCATGACTCCTCCACCTCACCTTTCTCCTCCTGCTATCCCCCCTCCTTCTTATCCTCATCCTCGCTTTAAGCTTCTCAGTTTGTTATACTGTGTCGTCCGTATATTTTTCCACATCTGTGTGGAAAACCAAGGGCCGCTCACCCCGCGCGAGCAGTAAGCGTGCGTCGTATGAAACCTCTCGCTTCTCTCCCTTGCTCAGTACTGGCCAATCGCAATGTGGTGGGCCCATGGGTTTGGGTCTTGCTAATAACTCCGTTTTCACTCACTCGCAACACTTTTTGGATACTTTTCCTTTGTTACGAAGTCGGCGTAATTGTGGAGGAAAAAAGTGAATTGGGGTTGGTTCTAATTTTGTGCTGTTCTGACGTTGCACCTTTATACCAGGTAAGGGTTTACTTGTGATATAATTTCCTTTTGTGTTCGTTTGATCGTTCTCTCTCTCTCTCTCTCTCTCTCTCTCTCTCTCTCTCTCTCTCTCTCTCTCTCTCTCTATCTCTCTTTCTCTCTCTCTATCTCTCTTTCTCTCTCTCTCTCTCTCTCTCTATCTATCTATCTCTCTCTCTCTCTCTCTCTCTCTCTCTCTCTCTCTCTCTCTCTCTCCCTCTCTCCTCCCCCCCTCTCTCTCTCTTCGTTATAGAAGTGTATACATACTGCAAACACGGGAACTGCTGTAAAAAGCATATTATTTGAATACTAAACGCAGATAGAATTTTTTTAATGCGGAGCTAAACATTAGGCAAAGATCCGTCTGAGGTTGTGTTTCGGAACTTACTTGTCTTCCTACAGTCATCTTGTGTCTCTATTCCTCGTGGAGTAAACATGGGAGCAATCGTGATATTATCCACGAAAGACACTTTTATGAATGGGACTTCAACTAGACCCTTACCAACGTGTGTATAAAGGTAATAATAATACTTGCAATAAAATCAACTTCATTAGTTGATTTAATGTGCATTCTATTGATCTCTCCCGCTCCCCCCCCCCCCACCAAGCCTGCTCATCTTCTTCATACTACCTTCTCTCGAATCCCTTTTCCTTCTCGTTGTTGTCCCATTCCTCACCATTCTTCTCCCTTATTATATTCAAACCTACAATTATAAACGTATATACTTTGTAACTAAAATTTTTTAAAAATTAACTAGTAAAGTGTTCTTGTTCATTGGAGTGTTTTAGTACACCACTTGTTTTTAACAAGGGCACTCACCACGCCTCCCCCCCCCCCCACTCTCCGAAGCAATAAAAAAACATCCCTAGATACCACAAGCAAACACTACTGAAACAAATGTTACGAATTGGAAAATGAAAACAAAAACAAACGAATACAACAACCAAAAAAGAAAAGAAAGGAACAAATAAACCAAACAGTTCTCAATTTCAATATTGACAATATTATTATATACAACAGCACAATTCTACTAGCATTTCATTTTCTACTACTCCTCGACTTCATCGTCTTTCTCTTCAATGTCTCGCTGATCTCTCTCACAACTCTCGTTTGACTTTTTCCTTCCAATCTCTTCACAAATGCTATGCTCTTTTCCCTCTTAGAAATATTTCTTCAAACATGTAAAACAAAATTTTCAATATCAAGCGACTACTGGAAATTCTACGAATATTATGTTTTCCTTTCCTGGCATAGTTTTCATTTTCATAATCTCCTTTCTTTATATTGCGGATTCAACGGTTCGAGCCTCTGCTCTGTCTAACGTTGTGTCTCTTGAAAAGGCACTTTACACAAAGTTCCTACTTGGCTCAGTTTTTCAGAGATGAACGTTAATCTTGGAGGAGTCTTATTATAACAGTGCTGATGATAGGGACCTTAAACCTATATCATTTCACATTTTAATCTTCCTCTCTTCCTTTTCTTAATGTCTCTTTCGTATGTCCCATGTGGCTTTCTTCTCTCTATCGCATTTAATGGGATTTTCGCTCTAAAGCTCTTTCTTCAAACAGCACAATTATGATTACCCACATTTGCGATGCTGTATTTCTGTCTGCTTTTTATTCATTGCTCCTGGCCTCATACAATTGTGTGAGAGAACAATCTTGTGCACGAATTTCTGATTACATCTGTAATAACATTGTCTTTGAAAAGCGTTATCGTTCTTGAATCTTCGTCGGTATCAGTGCCAAGGGTGTCTTTGCAAGGCAAGGTGACTTTTGCAAAACTTTAATTAAAAAACGAAAAATGCTCTTGTAGTTTAAGGAAGTACAAATAAGTTTCCTGACAGCAAAACGTACAAAAAAATGATTTTATGAATTTGTTATAATTATTTTCGTTCCAGAAGTTTCGTTTCTATAGCAACAGGAGCACTAAAAGTGAAAGCAAGATTTCAGTTTTTTTAAAAGATACGTGTTAGCCTAAATCAATTTTCCTGGCATCTTATTTTTACCTTTATCCTAATGTTTGTTAATATTTAAGTAAGGTTTTACGGAGCTCGCAACTGCATAAGATCATATGAGCGCGAAGGGGTGGATATCAACAGAGAGGTCCAAATGGGGAATCAGGCTTACTCTTCACCTCTCTAGCCTCAACAGCAGAAAGACTGCTTCGACTATAAAGGCATCCCGGAAATAGTAGTTCACAAGAGAGTGAAAAACAAAAACAAAAAGAAGTAGAGGAAAACGGACAATAGAAAAGATGAGGACAGAAAAGGCAGCAGTTCCCCAAAATATGTTGTTCCGGCACAGTATGAGGATGACATTCATAAACAATCCCATTTACAAATCTACTGTACATTAGAACATATTAATGTACCCCCTTTGGGAATGGCTTAAAGACACTTCTGTCATTAGCACTGCCCTGGCGGGCTGGGGGTATCTTATTCATGTTTACCTTCTCGTGCTGGGTAAATGAATCTTGGCGCATTTGGCGTAGAAAGAGATAATTGAGTCTAGATGATTTAAGTAATTGAAAAACAGGTGCGACTTTGAGTAACCTTTGCATGCGCCAAAGATTAAAAAATAATAAGCATTTATAAAGCGCATATTCCACACTCCACAGTATGCACTTTACAACTGATATTACCCCAGAAGACCCTGGAACACTCAGAAAAATTCTCGGCTTCACGAGAAACATACAGTACAAGCTGCAGATGCCACGCGCTCAAACACTAACAAACTGACAAGATCTTTCATTATCTGAAGCTAGGTACATGTAGCCATTTCCATCTGGGTGAAGTGAAGAAAATTTGTGTAACGTTCCTTTCCCAAGAACACAACGTCGGGCCCCTGACAGGATTCGAACCCACTACCTTACGTTGTGAGTCTGAGAGCCTAATCACTTGGCCACCGACACCATCAAGTTACTATTTAATTTATTGTCTTTTAACAGTATGTTTCGTTATCTGTTTTATTTATATATTTTAAAAAATTATTATTATGTGAGTTTTTTACGACGGTCGCACCTGCATAAGGTCATATGAGCGCGCGGGACACATTAAACATTTTTAGTTAGGTAGGAATCAATTTTGAATGTTGCCCGGGTGGCGGCCGATGCCTGCTCTTACTCTTATCGATTTGGGACCTCCAAGGGATTTTTACCGTACGCAATTGCGCACCGAACCTCCAAGATTTTTCGCCTTTATTTAGAGAAGAACATTTCTCGTCGCTGTCCAGATTCGAACCCGGGACTCATTGAATGAGAGGGGAACACTGTAACTCCTCGACCACGCGAGCCCCCTGTTTCGTTTTGGCATCATGTCCTAACAGTACAAAAGAAATCCTGCTGCTCACTGCTACAAAGACTATTCTTAAGAAACGTGACATCAAGCCGTGAATACTTACATTATGTCAACACCAGTGTCAGTTTTTGTGAAGTGGAATAATAATCCTTGCAGATCTCTGTAGAACGAAACAAATTGTCTCCATGAAACCTATGGGGGTTCAAACTGTTTTGACGAGGCGTCTGGAGAAAGAGTAAGCAAATCATCTACTCACATGTTCCGCCAGGAAACAATGTTAAAAAAAAAGATAAAGACCTTTGGAAAATGTTGAGGTAAATGTAAGGAAGATAACACCGTTTGAAGATAATTTACCGAGAAAAGACTGGATTATTTGTGCTTTGCAGAGGAACAACAGACTTTCTATAAGAGTGTGCGAAAAACGTCAAGAGATGCCATGATACGTTTGCAGCCGAAGAAATCTAAAGGTATTTTCGAAATCGGGAAGAGTAATTAAGAATGTGCACCTTCAAATATTATAAACTTTGATATAAGTACTTTTGCAGATGAAGCTGGCGTATGTAACTTTCTTAGAAATTAATCGACTTAAAAATAGTCAGCTCGATTAATGTATTATACAAATGGCTATATATAAGTGTCACGGTTGCAAGGACAACTGATAGCTAATTAAATTAGTAGCCTCTTAAGTAATCAACAAAATCCCGGGGCTTATGGTATTCATAGTGCCAAGTGGCCTATCTGTACAATGTATGATTATGATAATAGTAGTAATAACAACTAATATTAGTTCAGCAGTCAATGTCCGACGATGACTATGCATAATATGCAAAGGAGAATAAAACAGAGAGACAGAGGAGAGGAAGTACAGGAAGGTGAATGTGTGTGTGTGTGTGTGTGTGTGTGTGTGTGTGTGTGTGTGTGTGTGTATGTGTGTGTAGTATGTGTGTGTTTCTGAGTATATGTACACATAATATCCTTGAACGTACTGCCTTGCGCATTCTAAGTTATACTGTACAGGAAAGTGCTGACCTGTATCACATTGTCTCAATAGTAGCGCTGATACGCTTTTCTTATAAACATCCAAATGTATGCTCTTTACGATCTCTGTTTCAGTTTAAATTACTTTTTCATAATACCTTGACAAACTGTACACAATACATGTACTACTGAAGAAAGGGTGGAGGAGATAGTCGTGAAAAATCCCCCAATCAAAACTCTACCCCTTTTAAGAGAACAATTACACAAAACACTACAAATAAAAAACACAACATAACCATACCATAGTACCATAACCTCAAAACGAAAGAAAGAGACATGATATTAGAGAAGCCCCGCCCTTGAAAAAAAACTACCCCCCCCCCACAAAAAACAAAACAAAACAAAAACAATCTTAGAAAAAAAAACCCTAACAAAACTAAAAAAGAATCATTTTCCGGCTTGTCACAAAGTCTTTGCACTTCTACTTTTTTTCTCTCTTTGTCTTTTAAAAAGTCAGTCCCATTGAGCTGTCTGTCTATCGTCATTGCACATCTGCCCCGGAGCTCGGCAAGTCAATATTCCAGTGAAACCTCCCATCCTCTTCTGTTCTAGAATTTTTATTTTCCAGAATAGACAGTCTTGGGTCCAACGTAGCTCACTCCACGTCAACATTAATTAGGAAACGACCAGTGTGGTCACTTGTGAAAGCCACTTTTAATGCTT